GGAAATCTTCAATATACAATAAAATTTTTTAAAACTTCAGGAAAAAAACAAGGAAATCTTGATTTAAGGTGATAAATAATTCCTGAAGTTTAGAAAGTAGCAAAGGAATCACTTTGGATTAAACAACCATGATTTACAATTTGCTAAGCCTGCTGTAGGAGTGTTTTAAAAGGTAGTGCAGTTTCTATTTTTGCTCTTTGTATTCTAATTGTCTGCTTTGCCTTGTTTAATACATGAACAGAGTAAGTGCTTCCACATGTTACATGATGACTGTTATTAGTTTCTGCACAAAGAAAACTAAATATTCCCTATCATTTGAACATGCTGAAAAATGGTACACATATTAACCATAATGCTTGCTATTTTATCAAATACTCTCAAAAACAAGTATCATAAAATTCTCATCATTTTTATCTCAATTTATTAATATATTTTTACAACACAGTTTTTAACTGATCATTAAACCATATTATTTTCAAGTTAATGCTATTAAATTGTAATAATTGGAAATTATCCAAGAATTAAATTCTCAATTCAGACTATATTTTTTCCAATACATTTATAAGACAATTTTTGAGTCTCTTTCTACATCTACTTATTACAATTTCTGACCTCACCCACACACATATAACACACTTTATGTTCTTTTAAACTATCACTGAGATGCTACGGAACTGTGCCAACATTATAGGATATGGAAAAAGTCGCTATTTGCCACTGAGTGAAGGCAGAAGATAGCTACACTGTTCTACCCCATTAAATGAGTTAACCCACTACTCTATGTCTGTTTCCTTTATATCTCTTTGGCCTAGAGCAGTGTTTTTCAAACTTTAACATACATAAAAATTACCTGTGCTTATTAAAGTTCCCTGGATCTCACCCCCCAGATACCCTGATTTAGTGGAGTAGGATTCGTATATTTACATTTCTCTCAAATTCACAGATGAGGCCAAAGATGCTGGTTTGAGGACCATAAGCCTAGGGGTAGAAAAGTTTTTATTTGAACAGCTCTCCAATTTTATGGGAAGTTCAAGAAAACATCTGGGTTGAGTCATCGTCTTGGTTTTTCTCTCAAGGAGCTAAAAGTCATTTAGCTACCACCTAAAATTGAAAGTAAAGGGAAACAGTACTGTAAACATCATTTTAATTACTTTTAAATCCTTTTTAGAAATACCTTCTTAGCCCTAAACAATCAGTTAAGCAAAAAGGTTTGGATTCCAATTGACTTTGCCACTGAATGCTGTGCAACTCATTTGAACAAGGATCTTTACTAAATGTTGGTAAGTGTCATAAAAATGAATACAAGTCAACGATGTGATAAAAAAATGATGCATACATAGGTTACAGCCTCACCATTCCCCCTTCAATCTTCCCTCAGGTTCAGTCCATGTTTAGCAAAAACTCAGAAGTAAAAGAAATTAAGAAAACACAGCACAACTAATAAAGCACCATAATGACAATAGTTATATTTACATTATATTAAAATTCCTTATTATATCATCATATCACCTGACACTTAGCCAAATTATCCTAATAATACCAGGAGAAAGTTTTAAGACTTCATCTATATACAAGTCCTATTAGGTAACCAAATATATTCTCAGCTCAGTTTAATGCATTTTATCTACACAGTTCTATAAATAGGAAGTAAAAAAGATGCAGTTATCACAAGCCTTAGAAAATCATTTTTACCAACTCTTACAAGCTAATATGTTTTAACCATATATACAGGGACTGTAGTATATGCTAGTTAAATAACTGACAAAATTGAGCCTTATTGAGGATTATTAATGAAACAATAGCTCATATAGTGTAAAAATTTTAATTTTAAGTAAGTGATATTCAAGTTAACAGCCAAAATGACAAAATTTTCATTCCCGACCACTGAAATTGAAAGATTACCTGACCTCTTCATGACAGTGACATTTACATTATTGCCTAGTGCTACTTTCCTGACCAAAGCTGAACAGTTGCAATTACCTGTTCTCTATGTGGTTTCTAAACTTGGAGGATTTAAATCTGTACCATTTCTTTTGTTTTTAGAAAACAAAATTCCCCTCTGATAAATAGGATTGAATGATCAGGTAAGGTCCTCCTAAGGAATAGAATCCATACAATTAGGTAAGAATACTCTTGGAAATGTTAGATGAGTTGACATTACTTTCTAAAATCTCACTTGACCCAATATATATGTCATTGATACCAATTCTGGGAGGTAGATGCATCACATTCCTGACATTTTATATTTTCTTTAATCTTCCTGGTGTCCTATTAGGTTTTGAACTTTCAAGAAGGCTGATGGAGGTGGGGGAGGCAGAGTGAAGAAAATCAGAAAGAACAGAAATGAACTAAATAAACTTTATCATTGGGAGTAAATGGTGTTTTATTTTATTTATCATATAATTGGTCTAGTATTTTTATTTTCTCTAAAATCAAGCTCATAAAAACATTTAATATCTTCAGAATAACAATACAATGAGACTGCTTATTGCTATAATGAACAACATTGCAAGGGAGTGGGTAAAAGAGCGGTATTAGCTATAATTAAACTCCCTTTGCAAATGCTTTGGTAAGTGTAGTTGTGATGGGAATCTTCCAAGATATTCTCTTTCATCTGCAGACTATCAAAGAGTTTGGTTATATGTCAGTGACAATTAAACAAAATTTTAGGTCTTTGAAATGGTAAATCAAGTACACAAATGTCTTCAGTTGAGGATCCAACATTTTAATGCTAAGTTTTATTGTTTATAGACACCCAGTCTTATAAAGAAGGTCTAATTATTTTTAGGGAAAAAAGTTAAGCTAAGACAAACCAGTGAAAAGAAAAATAAATAGGCAATATAGTTAGCATTATAATATTTCATGATGGTGTTAAGATAAAAATGATTTAGAATCTAATAAATGATAAATTTCATGTTTGAAAATATAGGGTTATGCTACAAAGATATACTAGTAAATATAGTTACTACTGTAACTATATGTATATATTTATCTCAGAAAGTGATGAATTTGATGAATTTGAGTTTACATTATTTAAAAAACATGACTTTCACAACTCAAAGTATTCTTATTAAAGAAACATGTTGAGGGCAAACTGTGAGTTCTACATCATCGCACAGATATGTAGTATGTAAAAAGGTGAATATATTGTGCTATAAGTTATAGTAATAAGAACAATGATCATTTCCAGACATTTACTTGGTACAGTGCTAAGTGCTTTATGTATCTCATTGAATCTTTTCAACAGGCTTGCCAGGTGAATGTTCATTATGCAGAGGAGAAAACTGAAACTTAGCAATTTATCCAAAATGTAAGAGACAGTACATGGTTCTACTGTCTCTAAAGGCTATGTTCTTCACCACTATACGATGTTGCCTAACGTCCCAACTAACCCAATGTATGTGTCACTGTGATTAAAACATGGAGACTACTGTTAGGCACTGTCCAGAAGCCGTGACAGGTGAAAGTGACATAATATACTATATGGGCTGCCAGAACTCTTTGGACTTCAGTTTTGACCTACCAGACTAATACTCTTAGTCAAATCAAATTTTTATAGTTGTTTGATTTTCTTTTTCTTTTTCTTTAGTGAAAACAGCCTACATTTATTGATTATACCATGCAGGGTATAGTGCCAATTTCACTTGCAGTTATTCTCCCCCATATAATTCATGAGTTAGGTACGTTATTATTATCTCCATTTCCTAGAAGGAAGTAACCTTTTAAACAGAATATTATGAAGATAAATGAACTATTTATAACTATTCGGAAGAAATATACTTCTCAAATTTCCCCATCATCTTCAACTGTCATCTCTCCTTCATTATGAAGTACTATTGCAAGTGTAAATTACATTGTAAGGAGATACTTTATTTGTGCTTTCAAGAAACTTGCTATCTGAGACGTCATTGGAAATAGAGAAATTGTTCAATTTCCAATCATGTAAGCGATTCTGTATTAAAGGTAAACAGCAGATATTATGTTCAGAAATCTGCATCACTGCATTTGGTTCTGTGCTACATTCAACTATTAAGTAACTTGAGAGGTCAGTTGTTTCCGGCTGTCATCATTTCGGCAGTGGTGGGAGTTGCAGGGAGCATGAAGGGTCAGCAGAGTCAAAAAATACATGCAATTCCTCTTTTAAATGTATGTAAAGGCAGCACAGTTAAAGCTCACCTCCAAAAAAAAAAAAAAAAAGGAAAGGAAAAATATCAAAATGGAACATTTTATGTCAATTGATTTAACCAAGTTCTCTGTGATGCAAAGAATGCTACCAGAAATAACTTGTTTCTTTTCTCCTCAATGTGCTAGAATCAGATATAACTTTAGCTGCATATTACCTCAGAGAAATTGTAAAGATCTGTTTAAATGTTTCTACCTTTTTCAGAATTTACATAATTTTCCCCATTAAGTAAAAATAGTAAGTAAAAATATACATTTGGAAAACATTGTTCTGAAGATAATAAAAACCCTTTTATTGTCTTTTAAAATAATGTACTACATTTCAAAGCTCAAAGATTATACTGAAAGTCACATCAGGTCAAAATAACAGTAGGTTCCTTTCTAAATTACAAGTTCATATCTTATACTCACCTTTTGTCAGTCTCTATAATGTGCTGTTTTATATTGCTTTGCCTTCCACTGATAGTTTTTGTAAACTAAGTCCTACTTCACTTACTTTTAAAGACAAATGTTTGCTTAGTGTCTACAAATGTGTGCGAACTGTAGTCCCTCAGACATTCATTAGTGCTTAGAGTTTGCACTTAAGGAGGACAATGGCATTGTAAATGAAAATGACCAGTAGCCAAAGGGAACATATAATTGTTTGTAATTAAACAAAAGTGTTGCTGAGTTAATCAGATTCACATCTTAATATACTTTAAAGCATTGCTGTCTTGTCAAAATGAAGACTTCAGTTTTCTGTCTCTTTGGAATTTTTTTTTAATTGGTAATGAAAACTAAGCAAATTATACTACTGAGATTCTTTAACCCACTTAAGTACAATAAATAAGCTAAGTATGTTTTGATCAAAGTTTTCACTGGAATCTCCTTTTAACTTTTCACCAGTTTCATAATTAACAGTTTGTACAGGCATTAGCCTATTTACAGCATTTGCTCTGTAATGCCCTGTGCTGTTGCTCTCATCTTTCTGAATTACAGCACAAGCATACTGAAACGTTACATGCTTCCCTTGGTAACTGAATCATTCATTTGAAACACCATTAGCTTGCTATAATTCTTATGGGGGAAAGAGTTTGTACTGTAATTTTTATTTGAATTTTTCATTTGATTAAAAGGTGAGTCCAAATTAAACAAAAGAACTCCACGTGTTGGCTGGCTTCCTAAAATAAAGAGACTGACATGATTTTGCAGCAAATCTTATTTCCAGAACCTGTGGAAGACTATCCCGGTTGGAGTGGACGGTCTCTTAGTTTTCCTAAACCTAAAGGACTTAGGTTTTTCTTTTAAAAAGAAAAAAGAAAAGGCACAGTGATAAGAGAATCTAAAGTTATGTCAAACAAATTACGTTTTAGTTATTAGTGGCTAGTTTGTAAATATCAAAGATCCACTTATTGTAGTGCTTGGAGCTGCATTTGCATGCTGATGAAATGCAAGTGGATGGCTGTGAACTATAGGGTTATCTCTAGTGCAGCAGTGGGGAGCTCCAGAATCAGACAGTTGAGCATCTGACCGACTCAAGAGTCCAAGCTGCAGACCTCTTCTATTCACTTTCTTTACAACAATTAAAATATGCAAAGTGATAATTTTCCTTAAGTAGCCTTAAATGTGCGATCTATTTAAATGTGAAGAAAATTGCCTGAAGCTTCTGGTGTGAGGGACAAAAAAGAATAAATTATGCAAATAGCAGAAAAGGACTCTACCACTTGAACGCCTAATTTTCCTGTAATAAGCATACTGTTTCATTTAATTTTTTGCCTCTTATTAAAAGTGACAGTTCTTTTGCACTGTCTGATGGTTATATCTGACACAAGCTAGGGAAATGACTGCTAGACTAAATGCTAAAGCATTTTGGTAGCTTTTTTAGATGATGGTTACATTCACAAAGTAATTATGCACTGAAGAGTAGAGAAATAAGGTTTAATTACACAGTAATCGCTTCTGATGGACACGGCAGAAGTGTGAACACCGCCAGACTGCAATCCATCAATGACAAACCCCTGGCCACTTTTAATTCCTCCTCATTTGCATCATAACCTCCGCACCAAGTTGCACAAATGCTGTTAAATGTTAATAGGAGCTGTCTCTCCACTCAAAATGAATGCTTAAGCTGTTTCATTTTTTTTCTCCTCCACCTCAGACCTTCAAAACCAGCTCCTCTCTGAGAGCAGGCATTAAGCACAGAGCATGGTGCGTGGTCACTGTTGTGCTAATTGGGAGCAACACTTAAAGTTTTATCTCTCAAGCGCTAATAATGCACACTGCTGACAAACCAGTGAATAAGTAATGTACTTGCAGGAGAGGGGGGGGGAAGAAAGGCATGCCTAGAATGAAAAATGCAGTTGGGACCGTTGTTCAGTGACTAGCTATTTGATTAGGCCCTGTAGTCATATTTAATCCAGATCCTTAGGGAACATGGACAAAATTACATCTTCATCTCATCAAACATTCAGCCATATTTAAGCATTCAGCTGATCAAGCTTTTATTGTTTCTCTTGCAGCAACATGGAGACATTATTGTCCTATATTCTTCATTCCAGAAGCTGGCAGAGGAAAGGCCCCAGGAGCTGTTGGTCTGCTTTATAAGGCCCGGTGTGGTTAGGGAATCCCAGTAGCAAGGGAACAAAATCAGTTTAGTCACAACGCACTAATGTTCAAGTTAATAAAACCTCCAGCCTTCAGTTCTATTTGTGCAGTCTTTAATACTCAATCTCATTTTTTCTATTAAAAAAAAAATGTTCTTCCCTCTACCTTGTCTTTAAACCCAGTCCATTTCCCGGGACAGGTCTACATCATTAAACTGCAGATGGTTCTTTTTCTATTAAGCAGCAGGTATCATTCTTGTCCTGACAGGAGGAGGCTCCACCTGCTGCCGGCCCACCAATACTTCCAGCTGACTGCACTGCAGAACAGGAAAGGTAATTTGTAAGCAGTATGCTAAGTTTAACTGTAGACTCTAAGAAGTGACAAAAGAGCCATTTTCTGCATGAAGATTGAGAATTATCAACACCTTTCGGTGCATAATAGTTAAGCTTTTATCACTTGAGGAGCTGCTGATAAGGTTATGAACACTAGACAAACTGCTCATTAGTGGAAAGATTTGCCTTTTACATTAAAGACTGCTGGGTACTGAAGTTCCTCTAGTGAGCAATACATCCCTGGCATTTGAAAAGAATGAGTTGATCAGTGTACATAAATGAATATGGAAAAGGAGACCTGGAATGTTCTAATGATATTAGTGAGGTTTTTCTCAAGCTTAGGGAATGATAAACCTGTGAAATGTGTTCAAAAGCTGTGTGATCTGGTAGGTGAGTCCATAGATTAGAAGTTGTAAGACCTACATTCTGTTCTGTATCTTACCACCGACTAGCTGGGTGACCTTAGGTATGTAACTTGCATTTGATAAAAACTAAAAAATATTATAAAATGATTCAAATAGGGAATATAAGAGTTCATTAGGTTGGGTCAATAAGTATTATAAATCAGTTACAAACACCTCGTGTACTGATATAGTGATAATAAAATAGGTATGAAAGAATTATTTAGTACCCAGTCATTCATTTTATGCTAGTGAGTTGTGTTAGGGATTATAAATTGGAATTTATTCCATTCATTTTGAGAGTCCTTGTGTGACCAGAGGAATAAGAATTGTATTTCTATATCCCTGTGATGGAGGTTTCATATAAATAAGAAAGAGTAAAGTGATAACTTCCTTGGGGGTTACTTATCATGTGCACTTACAGTTTAAACCTGTGGATAATTTTAACCTTATTTTAAAGGGGAAGAAACTGAAGCTCGGGGTTTAAGTAACTTCCATTAGGACACATAGGTGTAAGTTGCCACAATGGTGTTTGAGTTCAAGTCTGTCTAATATTAAAGTCTGCATGTTTAACTATGTTTTAGGATGGAGTTTCATTTGTACAGAGAATAGTAATGCAAACTGCATCTGCTTCTATTTCCATCCCTCTCTAGCTGTATGACTTTAGTCCTATTTATCAATCTTTCTTTCTTTCGCTTACTTAACATGTTTATAAAATCCCATGGGGAGAGCAAGGCTTAACTTCTATCACATTAGAAACAGCTCAGCCTACTGATGATATTGGGCCAATACTGAGGAGCTGTCTTTAAAAACAAAGACAGTCTTCTATTTAATTTGTTGAGATTAAGCCTCACATCTAAAACCTCTGTACCCATCTGTAAAAATCTCGGATATATCAACGGAGATGTTCTTACCACGTCTCAACAAAACATATTGCGAGCGGTGTTCCTTTCAGACATACGTGTACCTACACGTTACCTCAATACTCCAGTGCTTAATTGAGGTAAAAAAGTGCTGGCCTAGGGCAAAATTCCTTTGGTGTGTACGACCCGCATTTTTAGAAGCTTCTTTCTTCCTTTGGTAGCAATCCTTCCCTGCTCAGGGATGAGGGTAAACCAATTTTTAAAAAAATTAAAAAAGGTTCAAGGGCATTCAGTCACCATCAGTTCCTCATTGCCAGATCAGGTTGATGAAGAAAGAGATGAAGTAAAGAGTTACAGAGGAGATTCCCAGAAAGCACCCATGGAAGAAGAAAGTGTGCAGCAGCAAAAGTAACTGTACTGGCAGGGAGAGGTATCTATAAGCATGCATGCATATTGAAAGAAAAAGAAAAGCAACACATTTTTTTACATCTTTCTCTTACATCAGCTTTCTTTCCGATATATTGGTTATCTGCATTTTGATGCAAGCATCCCAGCCACCTTCCTTATAGGAGGGCCTATTTTAGGCACTTCTGAGATATGTCAAGTTATTTTAGCCACAGTCCCAGAACCTACAGCCTATCCTGTGTGGATAAGCACAGGGTCCCAACCCAGCTGGTCTCTATTCCAAGAATCCCCACATTTCAATATCTGTCAACAATAAGCAAGTAATCAAGCTACTTTTTTTTCCCCTTGAGCAGCTACTACAACAGACTCACAAGTCCAGTTCTTCCCTCTTGAGTGACAATTATACTGCCAGCCTATGGGTTAACCACTTATAGATTTGTTTCACAGAGATTTTACATGGTCATGTAATTAATGCAATTATAATTTCTTGTCCAATGTCTATCTCTACCACCATACTATAAGCTGCTTTAAGTCAATCTGTCTCAGGTACCACTATATTTCCACTGCACAGACAATACCTTGAGCCTTTTGGGACACAAAAGCGATAAACAATCTTTCTAAGAAGGTGGTGGCCAGCAAGCAGCAGAGAAATAATACTAAAGGATTCCTTAATGAATTCCAATAGTGAAAAGAATGAGAAAGGAAACATATATGAAGATGAACTGGAACCTGAGCGCTAATGTTTTTAGAAGGAGAGATTAGTGATAGAGCAAACTCTGGCTCAGATCTAAGCCCCTTGTCTTTATAACCATCGGAATCTTAGTGTAACTATGTGAGTATTGAGGACTGGAGACTACATAGTAGGAAGGAAAGAGGTTAAAACTGGCATACACATTAAAAGATTAACAAAGAAGATGAAAACTATAAAAATAAATGGTTAAAATTATTTATATATTGTTTTTAATATAAATGACTTACCACTGATGCCTGAAAAGCATACAGCAAAATAAACCTGGTATCTATGTCATTGTGTGTTAGATTAATTTTGTGAGGTTTTTTTAAATACAATATACTTTTCTCTAGTCTGTTGCCTATGTAGTGTAATCATCCACTGATACCTTCAAACTAGAGGGAAAATTAAGAGTAAGTTTGTATTTGTGATTCTCAATTACAATGGAAAACTATTTGAATATAATCAATGTTATATTATTAATCTATACTATGAAGCAATTTCTAGAAGCTACATGTTACATGGTAAAAAGTCTGCCAGGAGTTAATCCACAAGTCTGTATTAGTTCTCTTCTACCAGCATCATAAAGGTTCCAGTGTACTTAGAGATCCCTGAATCAAAGGCACTGTGCAAGTAGAAAGTGGTGCACGTATTATTAACCTTTCTGCGTTTGTTTCCTCATCTGTAATATGGGGTTAATGATATTTCTGTACCTCACAAGAATGCTGTGCGAATTAATGTTTGTAAAGCCCTTTAAGATCCACGGATGAAAGATGCCATAAAAGTCCAAAGGTGATAATATTATAGTTATTGAAATTGGAAACACCAATAATGCTGGGAACTGAATATATATTTGGTTGCAAGGCACCCAGTACATTATGAATTCACAGGCACTTACAGAAGCTTACTGTTTTAAAATTAATGTTTTGATATATATAGAAGAAATCTGAAAGAAATACTACATATATGGTAAATGGATGTAATTCGTTCATAACTGGCAAAAGCACAGTATCAAGAGTCCATATTATTTCCATGTTTCTTTATAGAAAGTACTACAGTAGAATGCACTGGATCTATACTCAAAATTACATGTTGAAAGGTTCTATTTAGGAAGAGGCAATAAATAAAGTGTTAAAAATGATAACATGATTTAATGAAATTGATATCTGTACCCTACTTACTACTGCTGTTATTTCTCTCATTTACATTTTGAGTCTACTTAAATAGTTTATAAATATTAAGCACAAAATACTTAATAGCAATCTTTTTGAAAATGAGAAATAATACAAATCATCAATTGTCAGTGCCTGAATTCATTTTTTTTTAATTTTTTTTTTTATTTTGGCATATTATGGGGGTACAGATTTTAAGGTTTCAATAAATGCCCATTTCCCCCCCTCCCCCCAAAAGTCTGAGTCTCCATCATGACCATCCCCCAGATGGTGCACATCTCACTCATTATGTATGTATATACCCACCCCCCTCCCCCCTCCTCCCTCCCACCTGCCCAATACCCTATTACTGTAGTACCTATGTGTCCACTTAGGTGTTACTCAGTTAATACCAGTTTTCTGGAGAATATATCTGGTGCTTGTTTTTCCATTCTTGGGATACTTCACTTAGTGGTATGGGTTCCAGCTCTAACCAGGAAAATATAAGATGTGCTATATCACCATTGTTTCTTAGAGCTGAATAGTACTCCATGGTATACATATACCACATTTTATTAATCCATTCTTGGATTGATGGGCACTTGGGCTGTTTCCACAGCCTTGCAATTATGAATTGTGCTGCTATAAACATTCGAGTGCAGGTGTCTTTTTTGTAGAGTGTCACTGGATCATTTGGGTAGATGCCCAGCAATGGGATTGCTGGATCAAATGGTAGATTCACTTGTATCGTTTTAAGGTATCTCCATATTGCTTTCCACAGAGGTTGAACTAGTTTGCAGTCCCACCAGCAGTGTAGGAGTGTTCCTCTCTCTCCGCAACCACGCCAGCATTTATTGTTTGGAGATTTTTTGATAAAGGCCATTCTCACTGGGGTTAAGTGATATCTCATTGTGGTTTTGATTTGCATTTCCCTGATGATTAGAGATGTTGAGCATTTCTTCATATGTTTGTTGGCCATTCTTCTGTCTTCTTTAGCAAAATTTCTGTTCAAGTCTTTTGACCACTTTTTAATGGGGTTATTTGATTTTTTCTTCCTAATTTTCGTGAGTTCTAAGTATATTCTAGTTATCAGTCCCTTATCGGATGCATAGGATGAAAAATTTTTCTCCCATTCTGTAGGTTGTCTAACCATCCTCATATAGCCATCTCATCTTTGACAAAGCAGACAAAAACATACGCTGGGGAAAAGAATCTCTCTTCAATAAATGGTGCTGGGAAAACTGGATAGCCACCTGTAGAAGGCTAAAACAGGACCCACACCTTTCACCTCTCACAAAAACCAACTCACGCTGGATAACAGACTTAAACCTAAGATATGAAACTATTAGAACTCTAGAGGAAAATGTTGGAAACACTCTCCTAGACATCGGCCTGGGCAAAGAGTTTATGAAGAAGTCCCCAAAGGCAATCACA